CCTATTATGTCATTCATTGAAATAGAATCAAAAATAAAAATCCTATTTTTTCTTAAAAAAATTATAATTAATATACAATTATACTATATATTGGAATAATCTATATAATAAAACAGAAGAATACTTGAATTTTTATCCTACACACATTTTCCCCCTTAAAAAATTATATCACTAATTTCTATCACATGTTTAATCATTGATATATTCTCCCACTAAAAACATCATATCACTCATTTTTATCATATGTTGAATCATTTAATATTTGATTAATTTGTAGTTAATATAATTTTTATTTCAAACATTATTCATATAAGATAGTATACATATATTGAAAAAATTTAATATAATAGGATCGATTTTTTTGACGTTCAAATTTTATATTTTATCGTACTTTTAGGCACGGGGTTATAACTAGTATTAAAAAATCAAACAAGGGATCAAACTGCAATTGACTCAATATCTTTTATCTTTAATTGAGATAATTTAGTCGTTTAATAAATTTCGTTAGTTCTATAACTAATAAGGGATTCAAGTATAATAATTTAAATTTGAGGAGTCCAAGTGTTAACTTCAAGAGGTTTGAGTGTAATTTATTGACAGAAGGATCTAAGTGTTACACGCGCACAACCTTTAAAGGGTTTGTATATAATATTTCAAATATCGGGGGGTCTAAAAGATTAAGTGACAAACCTCAAGATGTCTAAGTGAAATTCTTTCTATTTTTTATGATTTAAGAAATATAATTAGTCGTAATGTGTCGTTGACATGTCTGAGTCCTACTTTTTTGAGAAATTCCTTGCTCGCGTATCGGTGTCATATTCGCATCCGTGCTTTTAGCCCCGTATCTTTTATCTCTCTTGCTATGCATGTGCTCTCGTGCATACACAGCAAGACAAAAGGCTTTTGCATTGCAATATAGGTTCAGATCTCTGTGCATTCAGTCTGCTCCTTGAAGTATAATTAAACTGATTTTTTTGACATCGAGGTGACAATTGTGTGAATCCAACATAAAGCAGGATCAGGGGCAGGTCCTTATATAGACCTTTCACCTAACCCCAAAAATGTTTGGACAAAACTTTGTTGAGTTCAGTATACATGCCTTTCACCTATTCTTTCTTGCCTAGTGCGTCTATTGTTCCTATGATGAAAAGACAAAACAGGAAAAACAAACCCACCAGTTTCTGGATGTCCACAACTGCTTCACTTTAGGCTGTTTCAAAAGTATGATAAGGTTTGTTCAAATGACATGTTCTCTACCAGGAGAACCTTCAGGAACAGAAAAAGAAAAGGACTAAAACTTGAGATCAAGGAAACCATACAAAGATTTAAAAAAAAAAAGGAAGAAAAATGACATATTTAAAGGGATTAAATATTGTTGGCAACTTGAAAAATATGAGCCCATAGACAATTCTTCCCAAATCCATTGTTCTTTATTCATCAAAACAAATTAAACCAACTAAAAGTATTAATGCTCAGCATTTCACTGCTTCCCCCAACCCTACATCCCATCCCCATCCTCCCACTGCATATTAACACAAACTAAGCACTTAAGATTTCTCTTATAGCAGTTTCAAAGAAACAAAACAAAAATTCAACTATCAAAATGTGGTGGACAACGGAGCAGAGAAAAGTGTGTGTGTGTGTGTGTGTGTGTGTGTGAGAGAGAGAGAGAGAGAGAGAGAGAATTCGCCAAATGTTACCTTTATAACTCGGTGGACAATAGGAATTTCTCGTCCCTACACACGAAACAAGTTGGAAGGATGAAGAGGTTACAACAAATTCACATGAAATAATAGTAAGTAAAGTACCCACTTCAAAGACATTACAAAGTTATATCCCCATAGTAAACGAAAAGCATGGAGAAATATGATCTAGAGCAATTCAAATTCAGAGTGTTGGATGTGTTATTGAGAAATACTAAAGGTCAATATTCAGTTTGATTCCCATTAATGAAGGATATGGGAAAAAGACCTTACTTTTTATATAATTTGCATAAATGATTGTCCTTGTATTCGAACCTAGTCAGCCCAAGCATTTCACCACTGCTTCTAGGACAAATTTTGTTAGGTTGGTTTTCTTCAATTATATCAATATTTATTCTTCAGCTTTAAGGAAAAGGCTTGCTAGAGTACTGAGTTCAAATTTCTACAATTTGATAACTACATGCTCTGAGCCTCGAATATTCTAAGCATTCATACCCGTGTGCATATTCTAAGCATTCGCACCCATCAGACAGTGCATATCATATAGTTTCCGATTCATTAGGTGTTTCAAGTTTCAACTGTGTGCATATACAGCCAATCAAAAATAACTTCTGGTTCAAACTTCAAACAAAGTTTCAAATTGATTTAGAATAATTCACAGTGATGGGTTGAAAGAATGCATCATGCTTTCAAGTAGCAAAAGACAGCTATTATAATATGTCCAAATTAGAACAACAGAAAATGAGTCAACTATTTTGTGCCCCTCATAGTTGTTAGTATCTTACAATATGCAATATATATCTTACGATACGTTGTGATTCAGTGGAAAAAGGATACGAATCTTATGATACATATCGGCGATACGCATCTTTTTTCACTATAACGTCCAAGATATGTATTTGAATATATGTTTCGATACTGTGAAAAGGCAATACACACAAAATCTTTCTTTATTATTTTTTATTTCATATTTACTCTAAACAATGAAGTGACATCATTTCCAATTAGTTATTTTTTATTTTTTGATTTGATCTCAATTAGACGAAACCCGCGATCATCTTCTTCTTTTACGATCCTATTATGCTTCTCCTGTTTTTTTTGTTCTTCTTTTATCAAGCAAAACCTAACTGTATTTTGACCTCTTCCGCGAAGATGAAGGCTTGTCTCTTTCAATCTTTTATCGGAAATGTGCATTGCAAGAGATGATGAGTGAGATGAAATCCTATTTATATTATTTCGGAGATTAAATATTTATATGTTTATCTATATATATTTAAAATTGAATATATATTACGATACATAATACATTATGATATACGATACATTATTTTTCAAAAAAGTTACACGTTGTGACACACATTTTGACAGCCTTGGTGCTCCTAGCTAAAATTAAGATATGTGGACAGAAGCTACTTCAATGAGCATTCTACTCTAGGACTCAACCTTTTTAAGCCAGGTTCCATGCTTCCAGAAAGCATAACGACAACAAGTGATTCACTACCAGTTACACACATTAGCCCTTTCCATATTATCAATGCTGATGTCACAATCATACCTGAAAAAATTGTGAACACAAGATTTGATATATATGCTTTTTCCAAATTGAAAAGATGTATATACTAAAATAGACATAAAAAAAGTTAACAATGAAAATTAAAAATGCCCATCATGCAGATGGAAAATTACTTCAATGGGAACAAACTCCGCACCACTTTCTACACTAGTAAACAAAGAAGAGCACTGCAACTTCACATCCTACAAATAAGCAACTTAACATCCTGGGAAAGGTCATTGTGCATCAAACACCCAATCAAATAAGCAACTTTTGGTATGGGTTGCAACTGGTCAGATGGAAATGAAAGTATGAAACTCCCCTTTTACTTCTCTCTTCTGGTTGCATAAGAATCCCCAAAAAGCAAGTTGGGAACTCACAAAATGGCGAACATAGTTTTAAAACGGCAGTATTACGTATCTACACGGCTATTTTATATAGGCTTGAGCAATTCGTGTATGATGTTTAACAAGCACCGGAGTGCGAAGAAAGAAACTCTTGTGCCAATTAAAGACATAGCTGAAAAAGGATAAAAAAAAGTTGCAATCTTTCTCGTGCATGAAGACTGGAAAATTTAAAAACACATATGTATCTAAACATATTTTTCAAACATGTCCTAAGATGTAGATTTATACAGTTATATAACTGAAGCCCTAATTTCAAACTCCAACAGAAAATAAACAAACATTCAATCTGAATTCGAGGTTAATGCAACGAACTCTTTCTTCAAAAGAAATCAACAGTTCCAGATCAAATGAGTTATAAACTACCACAGTTAACTCTACACATACGCGTTGAATCGACTTGTAAAGAGACAGACAGACAGAGAGGTGGAGAGAGAGAAATGATACAAACCGAGACTAACAGCTTGAGTGATGAGTTGTCTGATCTGAATGGATTTGATTGACTCTATTTGCTCGCCGATCCACCCCATAGCTCTCTCTCTCTCTCTCTCGCCGTCTCTCTCTTCTATTCCGGTCTGAAGACTCTGAACAGTAACGCTCCTAACACACTCACTATAAGAATGGAACGGAAAAAAAAATTGGGACTACTATTTGTGCAAATCGAATAAACTCAAGAGACAAGAGCCCACTAACAGAAATTTAAGGGAGATTCGTAATTTACACCCCCAAAAGATTAAAAGAATTCTCACTTTATGTTTTTAAAATAAGTTTTTTTTATATTGTACTTTTAACATATTAAAAATAATATAATGTGGTTTAATCATTAGTTTTCGGCATTACTGCGGTCAAAACAATCTCATTGACATTAATAAAACGATCAACCAACGACCTGACTATATTATAATATTTTTAATACATTTAAGGTACAATTCAAAAAGTTTAATATTTGAAGATATAAAAAAAAATTTAAAATTTTTTGAGATACAAACTACAATTCATGAGTCTCCCTTTGGTCAATTGCTATGATGCATGAGGATTGTTAAATTAGTAGATCTCTTTAAAATCTAAGGATAGCATCACAGTACGGAGAAAATATTAAATGTAACGGTGATATTATGTCATTATTGATATATAGTGTCACTAACCAATCATAAATCTATAAATGAGTAAAGTAAACTCTACTTGGATGATTATTAAATAATATAACATAATAGTTATTAGAATAGGTGGAGTTGACTAGCTCACATGTTATTTTATTATTGACCGGTTGTATTGCACATTTTTTTCTTAATTTGTTTATAATTGCTGTTTTAAATATTAAAAAAGACGCGCAGACCAAATGTGGGCGTGCCGAAGTGGTTATCGGGCAAGACTTGAAATCATGTGGGCCTTGCCCGCGCAGGTATGATTCCTGCTGCCCACGCAATTCTTCTATCTTTTTCTAATGGGATGGGCCATCAAAATTCGACCCGATTAATCGGCATGAATTAAATTGATTATTTTGACCCGATTAATCGGCATGAATTAAATTGATTTGATGATAAATGGGTTGACACGCCAAATATGTTTTTTAATAAATGGGTCGTGGTTTACCTATTTAAATAAAATTAATATAATAATAAATTAATAATTATTTTTAAAAATTAGCAAAAAAAAAAAAGTTAAAAAATCAATAAAAAAAAGTAAAATAGCAGATCAAACACAAATGAGAAGAGATGGGGAGCACTTCAAAAACAAAAGGTAAATCAATGTCTTTTATTTTTGTCTCACATTGAAAAATGAGGAGAAATAGGGAGGGTTGAGTTGCCTATAAAAGATAATGATCTCTTCCTTGTTTGTTTTAAGCCTTCAAGTCTTATTTTTATGAGATTTTGCTAAAAATTCCTCTTTTTTGAGATAAGGACAATTAACAGTAAAAAAAAGTGGAGTATTAAAATTTGTTAATATAAATTTTTTAAAATTAAACGGGTTAAATGGGGTTGCGTTCGTATTGAGATTTTTTATCCGTTTATTAAACGTGTTGTGTACGGGTTTATATATTTTTCACCTATCACCCGTTTAATCCGACAGATTTGACACCCTTACATCTAAGGGGCCATTCGATAGGTTTTTCTTTTGGATGTAACAGTGCATCCAAGGGCCATTCATTAAATAGGCATGTCAATTAATATTAACTTACACAATTTATATATAAATTTGACATGATACGAACTTAGTTACACATGAATTTAAATAGATTAAGTATGAGATAAGAAAATTTTGACAAGATACGAGTTGCAATCCAGAGCTTCTTTTTAAAGAGCAACGACCCATTCTTCCTATTCTGTAAGTTTGCAGCAATATTAAGTATATATCTGTCCACGCATCGTGTCACTAGTTTGAGTCTAGACTCTAGCGAGTGATTTAGAATCTTCAAAAAAGAGAGGTAAGAATGCTTATTATTTGGTTTTTTATAATCCTGCTGTAGACGAGAATTTTATGCACTAGGTATGATATTATTAATGTCAAATGTTCATTCTCTAATCATGTTATGGAAGCTGCGAAAGACTCGAAAAGGATGGCAATGCAACTTGCTTGACTGATGCGTCATTGGAATGCAATTGGGAATTCAATGAGAAATAGGTTGCCTCAAGTGGGGGATATGGAAATGGAACTGCCCCAAAAAAAACTCAGAAGACTTCGTAGAGAAACTTTGCTAACACTGAACAATGTCAAGATTGAATTCAACCACAATCTTTATGGTCGAAGGGTTTTCAATAAATAAAAAAAATGATTTCTGCCTTTCTAATTTTTTTCTCTCGGGAAATTCGCTATGTTTATGTGGTTGGCATTCATACCAGTCGTCCTCCTTTCTCTTTTGTGGAATATATCAATATCCGTGTCTCAGTTTTGCTTGTGCCCTTCACTGGCGTATGCTGGATTTAAGGCTGCAACACAGGACTTCCTCCTCTGGTTTTTGTCAGAGTTGCAAGTAGCAAGGATGTTATTGTACACACATTAGCTTCCTACCTGGTTTGGTAGTACAAAAAGGCTTCAATATTCTTTTATGCTATGGACAGTCAACAACCTTTAAGTTCAAACAAGTTAGCATATTACTGGATAGTATTGTCATGGCCCTTACCATTCAGATTGAAGAAATATCAACCCTGTTAAGATTACGAAGAATAAATTTTCATTAACTTATGTGGTGGTATGAATTTTTTTTTGTTGTCCTGCTGCTGTGGCACAACTCTCCTTTCTTAGAGAGAAAGACTTGCACATCTTCATAACCCAAAATGGCTGAATAGAGGATGGACATTGGAAATGCTCAACGTAGAGCTTCCTTTGACAGAAAGACAGTGTCCTTCACATAGATAGCTCCACATATTCCTGTCTCATCAGGTCAAATTTTGCAACTGCTCTGTCGCCCTCTCTCTAAAAATTTCATTTCTGATCCTATCCATTCTGCCATCTTGTATATTTCCTCATACTGTGGGTGAGACTTATCATCTGATGAGAACCCATGCAAAGATAATGAATCATTAATGTCACCTACATCTGCCCAACTAAATCCTACTTCCTTCGTTACTCTCCTATCTCTCATCTCTTTTCTTATTTTGGCCACCTTTCCCCACTGCCCCTTTTCAGCGTACAAGTTCGACATCAACACATAGGAACCTGACTCCTCAGGTTCCATCTCCATCAAAGCATTGGCCACCCTCATTCCCATCTCCACGTTACCATATATCCTACAAGCTCCAAGTAAACTCTGCAGCACAGACAATCCTGGTCCTCCAGGAATCTGAGCCACAAAGTCCTCTGCCTCGTTTAGCCTCCCAGACCGGCCCAGCATATCTACCATACAAGAATAATGCTCTGGGGCTGGTTCAATTATATGTTTTTCGACCATTGAGTAGAAGATCTCACGCCCCATATCCACCATCCCCTTTCGACCACAAACTGTTAGAACAGAAAGGAATGTGATTGAGTCAGGTCTGACATCTTTCCTCTCCATCTCTTTAACAAACTCATTACTGATTCATAGTCTCCATGCCTTGCATGTGCAGAGATTATTGCTGTGCAAGCTACCTGGCTTCTTTCTGATATCTCACCGAAAACTCTCTCAGATTCACAAATGCTCCCACGGACCCACGATTTGCATACATGTCAAGGAGAGCGCCTGAAACAATGGGGTCAGTGCTCATTCCAAGCTTTATTAAATAAGAATGGCACTGCTGGCCATGCCTTAAAGAAATAGACTCAGCCGCTCCAACTGCATTCAAGACACTGCCAAATGTGTATTGGTCAGGCTGTGATTCCATAATTGCTGACAAAAATGACTGCAACGCTTCTTGAGACATTCCATTTTGAGCATACCCTGATATCAAAGCATTCCACGATACAATCTCTCTCTGGTCGAGCTCCCCAAAAACTTTCCTTGAGTCTTTCATGGACTCAGACTTAGCATACATGGTAATGAAGCTATTAGCAACATTCAACTTTGACAAAAAGCTAGTCTTTATACAAACCCATGTACCATTTGACCTTCTTGAACCAAATTATTGGTTGCTATGGCATGAATTAGTCCAACAAATGTAACATCATTTGGATAAACTTCATTCCTTCTCATCTCATTAAATAGAGACATAGCGTCGTCTTCTTTTATTGACAGCATTGTTGTCCAAGAGACTACATTCCAATCAATCATGAATTTGAAGACCAATTGTGCATCTTGGACAACCTCACACTTAGAATACATTGAAATCAAAACATTACAAACTGAAACATGCATTCCATATCCACTTCTGATAGCCAAACTATGTATCTGTCTCCCATGCTCCAAGTTTCTTTCATGGCCACAAGCTGAAATTGCACCAGTAAATGAAACAATATCAAGCTACATTCTTTTGCTAACCATCTCAGTAAAAGCACTAATTGCTTCTAATCCATACGATCCCTCCTGAGTGTACCCCGAGAGCATCGCATTCCACAAAACTATATCTTTATTGGGCATTCCTCTAAACACTTTTTCAGCTTCCACTATTCGCCCCCATTTTGAATACATTGTTACTAGGGCATTCCCAATGAAAACTTCGGACTCCAACCCACATTTAAGCACAAGAGAGTACAATTGAGTTCCAAATGAAACTCTTCATGGTCCGTGCAATGAGCAAGTATTGTAGTATACGTCACTGCATCGAAAACAACTCCAACTGAATGTATTCCACAGGCAAAACTTAAGGCATCTTCGCCATTTTCAAAACCCGAAAGTAAGGTATTATAGGAAACAATATCCGGGTTATCCAAGTTCTCCAAAATACTTGAAGCCCGATTTAGCTGTCCTGATTTACAATACATGTTCATTAAAGAATTTGAGACACTTAAATATGACATAAATCCAGTTGTTATGGCGAATCCATGGATTTGGCACCTGAGCTTCGGGTCGCCACGACAAGCCTTGACGGCAATGGCAATTGCAACTTCATCAATATTAGCAATACCCATTTTAAGGTGTTTCTTGAAGATGCCAAGAGCTTCATAATGTCTATTTTGGAGCAAAGATTTGAGCAAAGAATGGTGGACAAAGACAAAGTTCGGTTTAGGAGTTTTATCGAACAGTTGGTCTTCATGTCGAACAGAGTAGAAGTTTTTGAATGTTTTTGACCGTTGTATGGGTATCCTGTGGAGGGTTTTGACGTTCAGTTGGCGGGTAATCATGAGAATCTTAGAGGACGGTTAAAATCTAAAGAGAAAGCGTTAGGATGAAAGAGAAACCCAAAATTCATGAAAAAAAAAATAGAGTTTAGTAAGAGATTTTGCTTAGAACATTGACATAGCAAGCTATCATTGGAAAAACATAGAGCTTTACTATGCGCTCAGTTCAGGTTGATGTGTATTTGGTGCCAATTTATGGTCTTGTCAAGACTCTTTAGTTTTAGGTTTAGGTTTAGGTTGAGGTTAAAATAATGAAATGGTGGAAGTCATTCATTCTTTTAACCCAATGATTGGACACCATTTTAGGATAAAAAAATTCTATATAACCCAAATAAAATTTAAATTTAAATGAATATTAACTCTTGGCTGAGTACGAGATAAATGAGTTCTATTAAAAAAATTAATGAGATTCACTCGTTTAAGGGATGATATGCATTTAAGTTGAAACTTTTTAATTTTTATTTAAGTTTTATAGCATTGCTCGCATAACATAAGTAGTTAAGTGTAACTACAACGTCATAAACAGAAACAAAAGTCAAATGTTAACAATTCATGGTTACCACTAAAAATGTAAATTTATTGATTTAATCGACCCTTAGTTAAACTTTTTAGTTGACAAAATCGAAGGATAATGTTGTTATTAGTCTAAAATAATGAGAATTGAATTCGTTATGATAAGATATGAATCTTCAAATTGCTAAAAAAATAATAATCGAGAGATAAGATATAGAAAATTTCACTCATGAGTTGTTGAAATTTTAGTTAGTTTCTTTATGGTGTTTTGACATTTTATCGAACCCACCTATAAAAAAATCAAAAAAAAACACTGACATCTCTCATTTTCTCACAACCATTCATTTTACCCTTGTGATTCATATAGCACGAACAATTTAATACTAACTCAATTTCACCTGATCCAAAATCATTAAAAATTTTAAAAAAGAAAACCCAACAAATTCCCTTTGAGACCCTAACTACCACCAATTAATTTTGCAACCAAATTAACTCTATATATATAGGAAGATGTATCATGTATGAGTATGTTGGTGGTAGAGGCCACGCATTCAAAGAAGCTTCTGGAAGAGGAGGTGGTGGTCGTCGGTCGGACATTTCTAGAAAAGGATTCGACGAGGAGGAGGGGGTGGTAGTGGATTGTTGTACAAAAATTTTCAACTAGTGTGATTATTCCAACTTGAGAGGAAGAGGGAGAGGGAGGGGGAGAGCAAGGAAAAAGTTTAGGGTTGAGGGTACAAACCCTACAAACTCAACAGACTCGACTAGTTTATGTGCAAATATTCGTGCATGACTTGTTTTTGACTCGTTTCTTAAACGAGCTGAATTTGAACAATTTTTTAGACTCGATTAAGAAACAAGTTTTTTAAGTTCAGCTTGGCTCGACCCAGCTCGTTCGACTAACATCCCTACTTAAATCTCTCTCTCACTCGTTCTCTATCCGACTCTTATATATACTAATCATGTGCAGGACCTACTAGAATCTTATTATGTGTCATTGATCTGAACATTGACTAGGTTTTCATAGACCATATCATTCACCTAACCATAATATTAATCATAATATATATATATATATATATATATATATATATA